CTTGCTCCCTCTGATGACGCGATCGATCTTCGAAAACTGGGTAAAAAAATATGCGCACAAATCGTAGAAGAGGCCAACAAAGCGTGCCACCAATTTTTGAGCCCATAACCTATCGTTGATCAAATCTGTTCCAAACCATAACTCCGGCGCCCCTCCCCTTAAAATTTAAAGACCCACAAAGACCACTAAGATCTTTTATGCCAAGGGCAGTATACAAAACAATGGCGGCAAAAATAGGGCTCACGTAAACGAGCTGCAGCATCAAACGAACTAATGAGTCTTGCAGTGCTCACGGATCCCACTGATTCCACCTTTTGTACCAGTTCCAGGTAAAGGTCACAAAGAACCACATTATGGGGCCTTTTTCCCGCTTTTGTTGTTGCCATTCTCTGAATTTTCCTTCCCATTCAAAGAAAACAATCTCTTCACCTTCCACGTCTTACATAGGATCCTCTCTCGTCTATGGGTCGTTCATAGCGAGCCATTGCTACACGAATCTCGCGTCCTTCAACCCAGCGTCCATCAGTGCGATCCATCGCATACTCAGCATCGCGGCGGCTAGAAAAAAAGGGAAATATTAAGAACTACAAGTTTTACACAACAGAACAGATCCAAGAATATATTGAACAAGAAGGTCTCGGAGTGTGCTCTCTTTCATATAACAGAACAAAGACTGAATCAGTACCTGTAGAACCGCACAAATCCAAAACCCTTGCTCTGACGGGTGTACTTGTCTCGTGGAATATGAATATCTCCGATATCTCCATATTTGTCAAACATTCTTCGAAGATCCGCTTGCGTTGTGTTGTACGAGATATTATCAACCTGAAAAAAGCAAAAATATCAACCCACTAGTCGAATAACGCAGCTCTCCCTCTAGTTACTTCCCGGTGGCTTACAAAAGTCAGACCTCTATCCCCTTTTACATTTGTTTGTTTCCAGTTGCTACTGCTAATGTTAATTTGACTACGAATGAAGACATATTTGGGGTCGCTTGGCAAACTCGATGATGGATGGAACTACAAGTGACAGATGTTTTACATGCATGTGATGACATTCCTATGTTCGGTTCGGTAGTGATATGGTTTTTAGCGCGTTCTTAGTTTGCGGTAACATTTTCGGGGTGCTAACGTATTTGGGGGGGGGGGGGGGGGAACCACGGCGCACGGCGAACTATGACTCATCTGCTCTTCCGCTTCTTCCTCGGCGAGATAATGTTCAAAACAGCCCACAGATGGTTCCCGGCATACTTCCGAATCTAGCAGCTATTCAGAATAAAACAAACAAGATTCACCGGGAACTTGTTGAGAAATCATACAGAAGCGGAAAACAAATGGACTTCGAGTAACAAGCTGAAGTGAATTGGTGAGGTGAAATTGTGATTCTATTGTGAGGAAACCGCTCAAGATTCAATTTCTGCGATTTGATAGTGAGCTATTGGAGTAGATTTCTCTTTGGATTCTGCGGACCATCCAATTTAATTAATAGTGTCACTTTTACGCAAACGAATGGGTTCACCTAGGCCGGAATTCATTCCCTTGTAGTTTAGGCAAGAATCTTCCAGCCTACTATTGTTTCTCAGCATTAACTATTTTATCTTTCGAATATAGCACCTTAGGGGGGTGTTATAATCATGTCCTAAACATGAAATTAAATAGCTCTGTTTTGCCGAGTAGGGAGCAGAAGAGCAGATGAGTCATCGCTCGCCGCGCGGTCCCCCCCCCCTCCCAAATACGTTAGCACCGTTTTTTGCGTGTGTCAGCGTTTTGAGCGTCCTGAATAACTAGGAGAGTATAGGCTTCGCTGGAAACGCCTGGCTGAAGCTCACAACGTGTCGCAAGGTATGAACACACCCTTTTCGGTGGTTTAGCTCCCAGGCCGTCTTGCTTTCACTATCTGAGAATTGTTTACTGTTTTCTAGAATTTTATCGTCATTGTTGTATGGTTTTGTAGCTGATATTGAATCGCCAATCTCCTCCCATAGTAGAGAAATAGAAAAGAGTGCGGTTGAAAAGCACTATTCCATCCTTACCTTCAAGGAATAAAGCCCTTCGATAGGTGGAGGAGCACGTCGAGACATGATCTAAAAACGCATAATAAAAAACATAGCTAGATAAACATTCTTATACCCTGTAGCGGATCAGATAGAAAGCCTTCCGAATGATAGCTGAACAGCACCAAGAACAAGAACAAACACCAACAACTACCACTTCCTTCACTATGAGTGAACTGGATGACAGGATGAAATATGGAACTTGTCAAACATCTAGGAATAAAAAGTATCACAAAACAATGAAAAACACATCCGGTTCCCAGTGAGGAACAACAGAAGATTCGAATGAAAATGGCGACCACCGCAACGCAAGACCGCAACGCATCGAAGAGTACGCGACCGGGTAACTCGTCCAACTCGTTATCGGAGCACTAAAATGTGATTGGAGCACGTTAAGGTGGTCGGGTTGCTGTTACCCGATCTTGGACTGAAAGGGAGACTCCGCAGAAGTGGAACCACTCCTAGATGGGATGCTTTCACTGGCCAACATAGGAATATTATGGAGCTAATGAGTAGGAGGGAACACTCGCCAGCGCTTCTCTACCACCTTCTCTAATCAAGGCTTATTGTTAGACTCAATGGAGACAACGTCTTCTTTGTGAGGATATTTCTCGGCTACTCTGGTCGTCAGGGCTCTAACTCTGACGGGAGGCGGTCGGATGGTGCGGCTGGCATTAGGAGCAGCTCGCTGCCTGTCACATCCACCTTGCGCTTGCATTGCAGTTTCTGCTCCGGAAAACCCGTCCACTCCACTCATATTGCTAACTAATGGGTTGTGAAACTACTCTAATATACAGTCTTGTATGCTGCAGATGAAGGAACGAGTCAGGCAGGATGGGTTTGGCACGATGCCTTGTTCTTGAAGCGGGTAGACACAGATGGTGGAAAACGACTGATTGGGAGGCTCGCCTCAACGAGTGGTAAGAAAAATGGGCTTGGCGCCGCGCCAAAGGCAGTCGCACCGATACGCCCCATCTTCCCAGCGAATGAGATCATATATCCGAGGGTTGGAGAAAAAACACTTCGGCCGAGTCACATATCAGTAAAGTTTACGCAGCCCAGAGAGAAGACGTGGATACGAGTACCAGGGCGGAAGATACCAAGATGTTCCTCGATAAGCTAGAGCAGCCCATCACCTTCATGTACACCAAAATATGAAGCCATCTGCAAATTCTAACATTGCAGCCTGACTGGAGAAGGCCTATGGAATAACGTCACCTCCGAAGCAGCTGCGAAACTTCTTGTATCGAGTCACCCATGGACAGCTACCTGGGGACCGGTACTCTTGAAGAAGATCTCCAACATCGAGCAGCTCCGACAACGTCGCTACGGTCCAGGATATCATCTTCACCGCAGTCGCCAAGGCGCGGGTTGATGGATATGGACCAGAAGTTCCTGGAATGGGGAGACCGATTCTTTCTTCGTAGACCCCGGACTAAAAGCGAACGCTGATGGTTGCATAGAAACACCCGGGGTGAATATCCTGCCTTCATGTCGTCGCCACCATCATGGAAAATTCGTACTGCTACAGGATTGGGTGCCACCACGTGGAATCGAAGGGCGTTGGAAAAACTCTCGCCTACTTGGAATGGAAGGGCGTTGAGTACCTGAAGAAGACGGAATATCCAAGTGTGTCACCTGACCTAAACCCCCTCGATTACCGGGTTCGGGCGGAGCTCAACAGGGTGGTCTACAGTGGCGGAGAAATCAACGACCTCGCTGAACTCAGGCACCGAATCACGGTCGCGTGGCAGAATCTCTCGATGGCGTTCGTCCAGAAGGCTGTGGCGAGTCTCGTGATTTTGTAGAAGGTGTTGTTGAATTTGACGTTGGAAATGTCCCATTAGAAAATAATAAATTGTAACTTATTCCGCCTTGAAAGTGGAAGAAAAAAGTGTCTTTTCCCGAGAGGTGCACAGATTTCGCTAAAGGAACTGAAAAAAGCAGAAAATGGCACAATGAAAAATGCAGAGAAAAAGCATCAAAAAAAACAAAAGCGAGCGAATAGGCTGCGAGTCGGAGTTCTGACGGGTATAAGAACCGGAACAAGATGCAAGATGAAAAGAAATCAAAGAAAGGGGGAACAGGATTCTCTGATGATGGATGAACCAATGCTTTTTTTTAGTCCTATTCGCTGATTCGACAAGCCATGACGAGTTGTCCTAACCAAAATCCAGAATATCTGGACAGCGTAGCGCTTAGTTTCATGGGTGCTTTGAGACAGAAGAGAAGGGAAGCTCGTCCCAAGTGGAACCTTGGGTGATTAAGTGGTGGGATGCTCGGCTGCCTGCGGCCTTTATTCGATTTTCGCCGAGAGACTGTTGCTGGTGTGAGGCCAAGAGCTCATTTGGCGCAATTCGGCGAGGTCGTCGCTCAGTAGGAGCTGTCCGCGGAGAGAGAATAAGAAAACACGATTTCCTTTTCAAGGGCGCTCGAGGCCAGGGGTTGATCCAACCCTTTTAAACTTAATATTTCGGTGGTTCAGTGGATTTGGAACATGATAGAGGGAGAGAGAGCGAGAGAGAGAGAGAGGAGAGAGAGAGAGAGAGAGAGAGAGAGAGAGAGAGAGAGAGAGTGTGTGTGTGTGTGTGTGTGTGTGTGTGTGTGTGTGTGTGTGTGTGTGTGTGTGTGTGTGTGTGTGTGTGTGTGTGTGTGTGTGTGTAAGCGTTTATCTGGCAAAGCACAAATGGTAACTAACTTAACTGAATAAATATGTTGGGATTAGAACTCTTTGCCCCTCCCCGAAGGGCGCGGTTTAAGGGCCATCGATAATCAGGGTACAGCATCGTGTTGAGGTGGTGGTGTAGGTACGCCCCCCCCCTCCGAGAGAGGGTGTCAGTACGACCCCTTCCCCACCTAAATGAGGGTCTCGGTACGACCCCCCCCTCTCCCAACGACCAGATACGACCCCCCCTCCACGGAGAAAAAGTACGAATCCCCTATGGGTTTCACACAACGATGCTGTACCCTGTCAATAATACTCGCCAAAGATCCTCCCCTAGTGTCACCCTTCTTCCATCTACCAATCCTACCCACCATCCTGCCAAACTTTCCCAACTTCCCACCACTTTCCTGAATTTCTCCAGTTTTCCCCAAGAAACCGGGGTTGAGAAGGAGAATGTCCTCACCAACCAGCTACTGACCTGGATGGGTGTTGAAGACTGGGGTCTGATCTTTTTTTATTTAACAACTAGACGGTGGTTCAGTGGGAATCTTCAGGAAGCTAATGGGTGAGCGAGAGCGTTGCAGACCGATCCTTACGCTAATTGAGAGTTGAATATGCCACTCAGCCCCCGCCCACCCACTTGAGGCTGTGCTCGACAAGGAGGCCGAGCGACAACATCAAAAAGGGGTCGTCTCGACGACAAAATCGACTATCGGAAATAGTAGTTGAATGGTAGTTCTGCGGTTTCCGTGGGAGGGAAATACAACTATCAGAAAAAAGAAACTTCATCTCTCTAAAGCGGCCCTACGGTTTTACAGAGAGGCGATATGCCCCTATGAAGACGTGCTTAGTGGACGAAAACGGGACACTGACTGCTTTGTGCTGCTTGCTTTATGCAGATTAGGCTCCACCCGCCAGATGTGGATGTGTGAGAAATCCTCGAGAATCGCCATGGTAATTGGAGAACTGCTGATTAGTTTGTCTAGAGCCGCTCTAATGCCTTCTCCCTCACTCCCATTTTACGCGAAACAGGATTCCTATGCAGAGCGATACGAGACCATTTCTCCGATTCACAGACTCTCGTTTTACGGATGCAACTTCCCCGAAAGCCTAGAGCGCGGCCTCAGCCTGGGTGCGTACCTTCAGACACTGAAGATTCGGAAAGTTAGTGAAAAGGAAGGCATAGGCATCGATGAGGAGAACGGTAGACAGGGCACATCCTACGTAGGGGAATCCCAGCGGGAGGGTCCTATTTGGTCGCAGGACGGAAGGGGGTCGTTTGAGTTTCCCTTCCCAGTTGGTGGCGTTTTACGACCACTATACAACTGCTATTTTCGATAGTTGATACTAGTACTGGGTTGGTGACGAGCTACCTCCCCACTCGATGGCAAAACTTTTTAGGGAAAACTTAAAAATTTTGGGAAATTTCGAGACATGTGGTCGGAGACTGGGAGGATGGGGCGGGGGAAGTCGTTAGGAGAGGACAAAAGCGGGGAGACAGTCGTATTTCTCGAAAATTATTCCCAGCCGGCAGGACTGTTTGTAGAATGTAGAATTGTAGAATCGAGAATTGACGTGATTGCAAAATCGGCAAGCTGGAGAATGGCAAATTCGAAACGTCATTGTGCGGTTCACCGATTTTCCAGTTCCCTAGCGTCGCAACGCAGAAGTCTTACGGCTGCTTGAAAGCTGGCTCTTGTGTTCGCGATTGATTAATTAATTAAATCGGCCGAAACGGTTATTAAGTGCTTCAGCTATGTTCCTTTTGCAAAGAATTGGGATCAAAAAGAAGAGAAACTATGTTATCTCCCATTGTACGCAGTAAAATTCCAGTTTGGAGCATGTATGTTGAGCTCTCTTCATGCGATTACGAGGACGCCCTACCATAGTCTGAGAGGAACGGTCCGCGATGACTTGAGGAATTGCAGAAGATTGGGTGGGAAGGGCAGTGTGGTCCGCAGCGGAAAAGTTTGTGCCAGTTTCGCAGCGGACGGCTGTAAGGTAAACCAGCTGAGGCGCAAAGTTGCTCCAGTGGCACCTCCCCTTTTCAGTGACTCCGCCTCCATAAAACGCCTTCAAAGTCCGCCTCTCGGTCAAAAGCGATGCCAGCGGAGAAGAAGTATGAATGGATGCTCTACTGCCCTTGCCATAGGGTTCATTGCAAGAACAGTCGATGGACTCGACCCAAAAACGCGGAACTTTTGCCTTTTACGCCGCTCGATTGCTTGGGGAGGGGGGGGGGGTTGGAGGAGCGCTGCCGAGCTCCTTTTGGCAAGCGAACTCGGACCCTCTCCCGACTCAACAGCCAAACCACGTATCTATTGTCTCCTCAATCAACGCATCGTGGCCTATGACTGTGTGT